CAATAACAATAACAATAACAATAACAATAACAATAACAATAATAATAATAATAATAATAATAATAATAATAATAATAATAATAATAATAATAATAATAATAATAATAATAATAATAATAATAAAAAGACTGAGAAAACAGAGGGAGGGAGGAAAGCCTCTTCTGAGAAAACAAACCCTTCTATCTTTCTTATAACTCCTGTTTTCCTCTTCAGAATGACTCTCTTAACTACATGTAATATAATTATTTTATTTAATGCATTTACATTCCACCTTTCAGCCTGAAAAGTTCTCAGAGCAACTTACAAAATAAACAAAACAGCCGCCTCTGTCCTCCAGCTTATAGACTAAGTTTAAGACATGGCACAAAAGGGGTAGGGGAGAGGAGGGATAAGGAAAAACGAAGACAACTGCAGGAGGCCAGCTTATTCCAGTTCCCCTTGCAAAATAAGCAGGGTGGACAGAGGAGGAGTGTTTTAAACAAGGCAAATATTCCGCTCCTGCACTGTGTTTATCTATTTTTGCTCAAGTTTAGTTGAGGACCGTAACTGTGGGTGCCCCGAAGGAGGAAGTGGGTCCAATCCGACTTCCTCTTGCTTGAGAGACAATTTGTGGTTTCTTCGCTCGTAGCAACGGCAGTGCTGGATGTTGGGGGGGGCAGGGAGGGGTTGTTGTGTTGTGCGCTGTGTGTTGTTCAAATCCCAGGAGCTTTGCAGGATGGGTGGAAATGCTCTGGAGAGGCACCCGCCCTTCGGGAGGCCTCTGACATTGTGCAGCTGCCTTCTCTTGGGGCGGGTTTGCTGTTGGTGGGGGTGAATCGGGGCCCGCGTAGCCGGCCGGATCGTTGGGATGCTGGGGAAGAGCGGGAGTGGCAGGACAAGCGCCAGCCCCACCCCGTCGGCCGTCCTGCGGAGGAAAGTCGCCAAAGCTGGCGGGCACGTTCTGGACTCGGTCTCCTGGCGGGCGAGCGTGTGGCTTAAGGTGAGCCCAGTCGCAGGACAGCAGTTCTCTGTTCGAGAGCGTTGGCCTGCCTTGCAGAGTTGTTGTTTGTCTGATGGTGGCGCTTGTTTTAAAAGAGCATAGCCATTATCCTATTAAGCGTCCTTGAGAACCATTGAATCCATTCCTGGAGTCAACCCTTGTGTAAATTCCACTGAATCAGTGGGTCTACTTTAGTAAGGGACTAGGGAGAAGACACTGGCCAGTGACCCTAGTCCTCTTGCTGGTCCCAAGTGTGGGGGGGATGAGTTATGGCTCACTTCCATCCCTTTGCTTGAAGGCTTATTATCAAAAAGTAAAGTGGCTGCCAGGTTGGGCTGCAGATACCATATTCCTCCCCCCCCCGGTCGGGGGATGATAGGATGCGGAGTCCCTACTGAGGCATCATCCTGAATAAGCAGACCTAGGGTGCCTTTTGGTGACTACCCCTCAACTCTTGTTCTAGAAATTGGAGCGTGAGGGCCAGGGCAGGAGTGGTCCGAGTTCTAGTCCTCACCGTGCCCTGGAACTCACCAGGAAACGTAGGTCCCTCAGCAAGACCCGTGGGGAGGGCGAGGGCCCCACGCTGCGCCTTGAGCTGACGAGGGAAAAGCTGGGGTTGAAATGGGGCCAGCAAGCAAGGGAACAAGGCTAGGTTGGAGTTTGCACCCGAGGCTTCCCTTCTGTACAGGGGTGACTCTTGAGAACTGTAGGGAAGTGCATAAAGGATGCTGGGTGTTGTAGTCCTGCCCTTCTGGAGGGCACCGGCTCAGGGAAGCAGGCCTGCTTTCACCAGGAAGGGGGTTGCGTTTCCGAGACGAGGGCCCAGCCTGGTGGAAGGTCCCTGTGCGTCATCGGCTGTTTACTCACCACGACGACATGCTTGAGCAATTCTGACTTCGGCAGCCACCAAGTCCCATCACCCACCTAATGCCTCTCTTTGGCCCCTTTCCACTAACACGAGATCTTGATTTATTTTAACTTGTGACTCTGGCAGAGCCGTTGCAAGAAAACTCTGCATCAGAAGGAGGCTTTTCATTTTGCTGGCCATGGATGATGGTTTGGAGCCCTGAATCTGGCCTCCCAAGATGCTTTTGGACGACCGCTCGCATCCTCTCTGGCCTGGCTGGAGGGGGATGATGGGAGGCTGCTGGGGGGGCAGCTGTCTCTTCTTCCTGGGACTCACTGGGGCCCTCTTTGCCTTTGGTCTCCTTGCAGGAGCTGCCCCGGAGAGATGGCGTGGAAGGGCCCACGGCCAGCCTGGCCGAGCCGGCGTCCTCCACCAGCCTCGGCGGCACCCTCAAGCGCCCCACGAGCCTCAGCCCCCATGCCAGCGCCGCTGCTGGCGGGTTCCCGCTCTCGCCGGCTATCCCCCGAGGCCTGGCCAAAGGGCACAAGACCCCGCTGGCCTACAGCCCCGGTGGGGAGGGCAGTGGGGCCGCCACGGAAGGGAGCCTGGCCGAGCTGGAGGACATTGCCCAGCTCCTGGCTGAGGTGGCCGTCTTTGCCGAGCGCCTCGAAAAGCTGAAGGATGTGGTGCTCCAGGAGGGTGAGTTCCCCCCCCCCCCGCGCGCCGGGGGGACAGNNNNGTAATGGGGGACAGAGGTTCGGGGGCCTCAACCACGGCCTCGCCCGGCACCAACCCACCCCCGGGGGAAGGGGAGCAGAGGCACGAGTGTCCTTTAACCTAGTGGTTCCCCAGCCTTGGGCCTCCAGATGTTCTTGGACTTCAACTCCCAGAAATCCTGGCTAGCAGAGGTGGTGGTGAAGGCTTCTGGGAGTTGTAGTCCAAGAACATCTGGAGGCCTGAGGTTGGGGACCACTGCTTTAACCCTTAAAAAAAATAAGCAGCTCCCCTTTGACATGCAGAGTAGCGGCCTGGTCTGTCTGGAGAGGGGAGAAGTTGCACCTGCGCAAATTCTCCTTTCCTTGCAGCAGGGAAGCAGGTTGGCTCTCCATCCTCATCAGATTGTGCATTTTACAGCCCTCCCCCATGGATTGCCACACCAGGCGAGGCCAAGGGAGGGGCAGGATCTTACCCTTTCCTGCTTCTGCTCTATGTTCTTCCGTTTGCCTTTCCTGTTTACAGCAGGGCTGTGGCCGCTGTATTGGGCACCCTGATAAGTCCCTCTTCCTGGAGGGTAGGGTCTCTTAACGATCCTGCACTTTTTCCCTTGGTGAAATGCAAAAATCAAATATATTTAGCAACAGGGGCCACTGGGTGATCTAGCCGAGCAAGGAACAGTTGGAATTCAAAGAAAGCGATGAGTTGAGAACTGCACCTGTTGAATTTCTCTTAGGCAAGGAGTGGGGGGGGGGGCAAGGACTGCAAAGTCCTGTTAAATTCCACAGGATTTATTTCTAAGTAGAAAAGTCCTAAGTTGCCTTTTAAGCTTTGCTGATTTCACCTGGCGAGCGAGACATATCCTAAGGATGGCATTCCAAACTTCCTCTCAGGACAGGACATGGACAGAAAGGGTTTTAGTGCCACAGATGTTGTGGAGCTGTTTCCAAGTGAACAGAACTGTGTTCTGGGTCACCCACTGAAGGACGGATCAGGCATGTCTGTCCAGCAGTTGGATCCACCTCACCCCAATTCCTTCTGACCCCCTTCCCCCCCCCGCGCCAGCCTTCCCCTCATCTGTCCCAGGGTGAGTCATTAACGCGTGACGAGCACCAGATGGGAGACGCGCTGGCCGGCCACAAGGTTGCCACATACTCAAGGAAAGGGGTGAAGAGCGATCCTGGGACACAAGGGCTCTTTTGCTTCTCAGGCAAAGAACCACGTTGAGGTCCCCATTTTGCAATTTTATTTTATTTCCTCTCCCTCTTGCAACCCGTACGAGATCCGCGACCTCTCAAAATGCAACAGAAGTGCAAGAGGACACTGCACTTAAGGCTCAGCAAATGAGCCAGATATTATGTGCAAAAGAAATTCTCAGGTTTAAAGTAAAAGTTAAAACATCTGTGGAAATCAAGAGGTGTGTGGTACACACACACGCACGCCCTTAGAAGCCACATTCCTCCCCTCCCCCGGGCTTGGCTGTTTCCTCTAGCCACTGAGCGGCACTTCCTCCCTTTCAGTGCCCGATCCACTCCTCCTGCAACCAAAGCTGATGATTTTCTTTTGCTTCCCAAACATGAACAAAGGAGACATTTCTGCTGCGAGAACAGGCGATAGGGTGGGGGTGTTCTTGGGTGGAGTGGGGGGAAGCAGGAGTTTTGGGTGGCTAATGGTCCGGACGGGGGTCATGGCCGGTTTATCTCAGAAGCCAGAGGAGCAGCTCGGCTTCCGGGTTGATGGCCGTCACCCTTCCGGGCAGTAAACAAACCCTTCGGGTCACATACCTAAACAGCAGCAGGCCTGGCTTTTTCAACTTGCCTGATGTCTTTTCCCTGCGTGGAGAGACGCAGGGCGAGGCTCTACAGGTGGGGCTGCAGGTGGAAGCCACAGTCCCATGCTTTGCCCCCCCCGGCCCAGGTGCCCACGATTCACAGGTAGTTTTGCCCAGAGGTGGGAAGAATTTGGACTACAGATCCCAGCATGTAGAGGGCTGGGGCATTCTGGGGGTTGTATTTCCAGAAAAGGAGCTTTTCCCATCTCTGGTTTGGCACCTGACCACAAAGAGCGCAGGGTATGCTAGGAAAAGAAACCATATTTGAATAGGGTTCAACATGTTTTAAATTGGTTTTTTTAAAAGGATGCACATGGAGGCAGCCAGCATGAGGAAGAGCAGGCAGCGCAGGACACTGAAGCCATTCGGGCTTGGGTGAAATATGTTGTCTCCGGGGATCCTGCTCACGCCTCTCCCTCTGTGGCTGATGCCTTTACAGTAGACCTGGGCAAAGTGCGGCCCGAGGGCCACATACGGCCTGCGAGCCACTCCTGTCCGGTGTACGGACAGTTTTGAGCATCAAAACCATTTATAGCTTTTTGTCTGAAGTTGATCAGTTGCTTATCTTTAACATACCACAAAAAAAACCTCTTTAGTATTTGTGAAGATTAACAAGTTTAAAATAAAAAACAATCGTAACATCACTGTTTCATTCTATTTTAAAGTAAAGTTGGTTCGGCCCCGAACACAGTTCAGATATTTCATGTGCCCCCTCCAATACAAATTAATTGCCCACCCCTGCTTTAGAGCAACGACGTGATTGGCAAACGTTCAAGAAGCGGGGCCTGCCCTGATGTGTCCCCCTTGCGACACCCTTTCCTTCCCCACGGACCCTTCTCCCTCCCTCTCCCTCTCCTTTCTTTCTTACAGATGGAGCAGAATCACGACGCTCCTTGGCCCACGAGTGCCTGGGAGAAGCCCTCCGAACCCTTCGGCAGATCTTTGGCCATTACCCGCTGCTCAAGACCTTGGAGACCCTGACCGCGGCTGGGACGCTGATCTCCAGGGTCAAAGGTCAGCGACCACCCCCAGCTCTGCCAGGATCGGAGAGGCCTTTGTTAAGGGGGGGGAGCGTCTTCTTCCCACCTTCTCACACTGGACTTTCAAAATCCTGGTCTGGAATTTTAAGCAATTTTAAGCAAACTGACCTGATTGCCGCATCCCAGACCAACACATAGGGAAACAAACAAAAAAACAGTGGGTGAAAAATAAAAATATGAGCTCAGAATATGAATCCTAGGCATGATGCTTGGAGTCAGAAAGGCATCTTTTTAGAAACAAATCTCTACTGAAATGTGCATTTCAGAACGAAAGGCACAATATTTTTCCTTTCTTTTTACTCAGCAAATAAAAAAAAATAAGGCGGAAAGAGCCATTCCATTAAACTCGTGGAATTCTGGACACGTCGGAAGAGATGGGTCCTTTCTTCCCACGTTTTGAGACACACACCCCCATCTTTCTTTAGGCAGTACTGGAATTTTTAGGAAAAGCCAAATGCCTTCCACCTTCATCTACAGGCTTGTTTTCTTGTCCCCTGAAATTTACAGGCTTCCATTATGAATCCAACAACGAGTCAGAGAAACGGGAGTTTGAGAAAGCTGTGGAGATGATCGCCGTGTCCTTCAGCAGCACGTAAGCGAGCCGCTTGCTTAGCTACCCCTTAAAGGCCATCTAGTCCAGCCCCCTCCCTGTGGTCCAACTTCCTTCTGGGGGCGAGCAAAAGTAACTTCCTCGCATGTCTCTCCTGCTTTTCCTCCTACCAGGGTCTCCGAATTCCTCATGGGCGAGGTGGACAGCAGCACCATCCTCTCCATGCCCCCTGGCGAGGTGAGACCAGCCCCTGTGACTGTGGGTTGGGGCTATGGGGGTCAGTGGGGAGCACACACACTCCTCCACGTTGTCCCAGTTTGACACACACACGCACACGTACGTCTCTGTTTTTCCAAGGGTGTCAGGTAGCCACGCCGAGACAGGCCTCCTTCTGCCATCAAGGCAGCTGGAAATATTTAAGAGGACTAAGAAGAGACAAAAACATTTCCAAAGAGTGCTTATGGGGTGAAGAAGATCAAAACCAGCACTTGTTCCCATTTTCAGTGGGAGACCTGGGGGAGGGCGAGGGGGAGGGAGGGGTGGCTGTGCCCACAGAAAGGACGCGTGAGTTGCAAGGCGGGAGCAAAGCCAGAGAAGGAGCAGCTCCTGGTTTTTGCTCTGCCATGCTGACTGCTTCCTCTCCTTCCTGCCCTGACAGTCCATGGAGAACCTGTATGGAGGGTTGTCCAGCCAGGGGGCGGAAGAGGCCTCGGACGGCACGCAAGACTTTGGCTCAGGTGAAGAACCCTCCCGACCCTTCCCGCCATTCTGTGGCCTTCCTGCACATCTGCAGACCTCTTTCTAAGTGGCCAGAGACATCGGGCCTCCCAGCCCTCCTTAGTGGGGATCTTATTTTCTCAGGGAAGGCCACAGGAGAACTGTGGCCCCGCTGTCGCATGCGGTTTATGCACAGGCATGTTCTAGGCATTGAACATAGGAGGCGGGCTCACAGCAGAGCCTGGAAGTAACCTTCAGCTCTTTAGCAAATCGATCCGTCTGTCCGTCCGTCTCTCCATGGGACAGATGGCCGAAGCGCAGGGCTGGTTTCTTCATCCATCCTCTCCTCTCCTCTCTGTCTCGCTGGGCAGCCCGTCTGTCGGCCGAAGAGGTGGACGTCCTCCTCCAGAAGTGCGAGGGCGGCGTGGAGGTGGCGCTCAAGTACACCAAGAACATTTCCAAGTACATGAAGGACCTCATCTACTACCTGGACAAAAGGATTGCGCTGGGTGAGCGAGGGTTCAGAAAGAGGGGTTCCCCTGCTGCTGCTCCCTCCCACAGACGCAGAAACGCTCTAATGGAAACACCGGTCTCCCGCCGAGCTAAAGGCACCCCCAGGGGCGGAGCCCTGATAGCGGGTGCCTAGCTATGGGGGTGTCTCCCCCCCTACACACACACACACACACACACACACACACACACTTCCAGAAGGAAAATGTGGAGCAGACATTCTGGGGAATGTTTGTCCCTCCTGATGTTGCTGGACTACATTGCCCATCAGCCCCATCCGTTGGCTGTGCTGACTCGGGCTGATGGGAACTCTAGTCACATGTTTAGTGCCGAGGGTTGCGTGCGAGTCCAGAGGCTTGGCGGCAGGGCTTACTGAGGGGGAACCACTTCATCTTGTGGAACAGAAATCGAGAGCAACTTGTCGTATCTATTTGTTTATATTTATCCCCAAACAAAACAAACAGACCCCTAAACGAAAAAGCCCCTAAGGCTCTTGATGTGGCAGCAGATAAAATGACAGGAAGGCAGTGCTATTCGTCTGTTAAAAAAACAGGTTGCCTGATCCAAGGCCAGATGTCCTGTCTCGTGGCCTCACCAGGGAGAAGCCATTCTCTCTCCCCCCCATTGCTCTGCCTAATCTGGACCCCACGGGTTGGTTGGAGGAGTGGTTAGGGATTCCCAAGTGCTGTGGAAGGGAGGAGCAGGCTTCCCACAGCAGGGAAACATTTACACACTGGGTCGTAAGAGACTGAAGAGTGACTCATGGCAGCTGGATCCGTCCATGCCAGGTAGTGAGGAACGGGCCTTTTGTATAGTTAATGCCTCTTCATGCTTAATCCTAAACCATTCTGCCCACAAAAGGGAAGCTGGGGGAGAAGGAAGCGTCGTGGGGGCTGTCTTGGTCCCGGCTACTCGGAAAGCCCTCACATTGGCTGCTCTCGGATTCGAACCGCGTTCTGCCTCACTCCTTGGGGAATCCTGGTTCTCAATCTCTCTCTCTCTTTTCTTCCCTCAGAGATGGAGTTTGCCAAAGGGCTTCAGAAGATGGCGAACACCTGCAAGCAAACCCTCACCCATGAGGTAGGCCCTTCCTGGAATGGCCCCTTTCTTCAGCCCTGGGAACTCTTTCCCCTACCCCCAAACCCATTGGTTTCACCGCCTGTGGCCTAAGGATGATGGGGGCTGTAGTCCAGCTCCTTTGGAGGGAGCTTCCCTGCTCCGAGGGCCCGGGGGGGGGCTTCTCTGCACCCCCAATCCGTTCCAAACCCAGCAGTTTGTGAAGTCTGGACCTGCCGTCCTCCTTTCTCTTGTGAATGACTGACGCGCAACCCCCACCCCGACCCCACCCTCCATCTAATATGTTTCTTCCTTGGCCCCTGCTCAGCACCACATGCCCTTCCTCTCCATCTACTCCTTGGCCCTGGAGCAAGACCTGGAATATGCCGTCAACTCCCTTCAAGCAGGAGCCACCCTGCGGACGGAGACCTTCCTGCAGGTAAGGCAGGAGAGCGGGCAGGAGATCGCCTGGCCCGGGGGAAGGGGGGCAGAGACTTTGGATCCGTCCGGGATCTGGGACTCTGACAGGGGCTCCAGCCCTCCACTGCCTTTCCTCTCCTCTGCTTTAGCCCCTGCAAGCGAGGCGCCAGGAGCACGAAAAGCGTCGTAAAGAGGTCAAGGAGCAGTGGCACCGGGCCCAGAGGAAGCTGGTGAGGAGGAGCCGAGAGCCTCCGCAAGGCGGCCCAGGGGTTGCGGGGAAGGAGGGACGGGGCCCTGCCCGGTTACCCTAAGTCTCCTTAAGAGGGAGAGGGGGAAGTCTTTCAGGACAGCTTTTGTGCAAAAGTCAGGCCACTCCCAATTACAATCTGGAAAAAAACACAACAACACGAAAGGAAGAAGCGCCGGGGAGGGAAGAGGAGAAAAGCTGGCCTCTTTCCGGCTGGGCTGGGTTCCCTTGGCTGCCAGCCTTCTGGACTGGTTTCGCCATCAGCCCGATCGCCGCCGTTGGGCAGGGCTGAGCGTGGGCTGCGGCAGCTCCGTAGTCTCTGCTTGGGGACACGGACGGCGACACCTGTTAAGGTTGGTTTCCTGGCCTTGGCACTGTGGGAGGAAGCGGAGGTTTTAAGATGCCACTGGTCTGGCTTAAAGAGGCCCCGCCAGGCAGGCTTTCTCAGGTAGACGAGAAGGTGTTCTTCCAGCCCCCTTCTACCCTTGAGCTGGAACCGGCTGTTGCAAAATCCGTCATTGGGTCCCTGCGTGATGCGCCCCCTTCTCCTGCCCCAAAGAGGGAAAGCTGCTGGTTTCAGCCCCTGATCCCTGAAGGAGAAAAACTGGGTAGACCTTGGCCTGCAAAGAGGGAGGGATGAGAGCAGGGCCCCCCACCACCACCACCACCATGCCACCCCACCCTCGCTGCTGCTCCCAGTGCCAGGGAGAGGCCAGAGAGGATGTGTCCTGGGAGAGCCTGGGGCAGGTTTTGCTCTGAGGCAGCAGCCCTCAGCTGACCAGGGAAGGACGCTGCTTGTCCCCCCCCCCCCCGACTCCCAGCAAGAGGCTGAGAACAATTTGCGGAAGGCCAAGCAGCTGTACATGCAGCGCTCGGAGGAGTGCGAGAAGGCCAAGCATGTGATGGCGAAGGCGGAGGAGGAGCAGCTGGGCACCGGGGGCACCACCTCGGGCACCACCACCACCAAGGCCCTGGACAAGAAGCGCCGGCTGGAGGAGGAGGCCAGGAACAAGGTCAGCCGGGCAGGGTGGGGAAGGAGAGAGTCGGGGGGGGGGAAGCCAGCCCCTAACACCGGACATCGCCGGGTGGGAGGAGGAGGGGGGGAGAGATTCTTGTGAAGGGTTTGTGGAGAGGGCCTTGTTTTCTCTGGTGGGCTTTCCTTTTTATTTCCATAGGAGAGACTCCCCTGGAAGCTTCGGCCTCCTCTCCTGCCCACTCCCAGGTCCCTTGGCAAGGAGGGGGGGCAGCCTTGTTCCAAAGCCTTTGGGGTTACAAAAGAAAGAGGGTGGGAGGAGGAGGGGGGGAGAGATTCTTGTGAAGGGTTTGTGGAGAGGGCCTTGTTTTCTCTGGTGGGCTTTCCTTTTTATTTCCATAGGAGAGACTCCCCTGGAAGCTTCGGCCTCCTCTCCTGCCCACTCCCAGGTCCCTTGGCAAGGAGGGGGGGCAGCCTTGTTCCAAAGCCTTTGGGGTTACAAAAGAAAGAAGGCCTGATCTTTCTCTGAGGGCAAAAAACAGACTTCCCTGTCATTAGCGCTGATTATTTTAAGCAGCCTTCATCTTTAGATTCAACTTCAGATGTTAAGAGATATGCTTGCTGTGACACTCACACACCATCAGCACTTACAGATTTCCATTTTCAGTGACAGGCTGTCTATAAGGTCTGTTTCTGCCCCCAAATCAAGCCAAATTTCTCCTTTAATCCCCACCCACATTGGCCTCAGTGAAGCAGCTATGAATCTTCCTAGGCAGTAGAAACTTGGACTTTTTGGAGGAGAGAACCAAAATCTGAGGTTCCCCAAGGCAGAGTTTCCCCCTGGTTGTGGCAAGGTGGTTCTCAGGAACCAGGACAGCAGTTTAGCACTGAAAGTTAAAATCCTTGGGTTCTGCCCTGGCCACCCACCTACTTAGAGATTTCCTCCCTCCCTCTCTCTCATTGCCCATTCCAGGCGGACGAGGCCATGGCCACCTACCGGACTTGCGTGGCAGATGCCAACACCCAGAAGCAAGAGCTGGAGGACACCAAAGTGACCTCCCTGCGGCAGCTCCACGAGGTGGTCAAGCAGAGCGACCAGGTCATCAAGTCAGTAAGTCCGTCCGGGTCCCTCCTTGGGCATGCGATTCAGCCCCACCACCCCACCTGGCCTCCTGGCCTCCTTTGGACAGCAAGCATCCTGAGTTTAGATGAGCATCTTCCTCCCCCATGAGGACTAGGAACAGGCTACGTACTTGTTTAACCAGAAAGCTGGTTTCGGTTCTCAGCTCTAGCTGTGCTTGGGGCTCTCGACAGAGGCCCATGGCGTCTTTCCATTTGGGGCAGCAGAATCGCTGCTTTGTTTCCACCACCACCACCCCCCGGTAACCCCTCTCCTTCCTCCCCCCCCCTTTTCCAGGCCACCATCTCCTTCTACCAGATCATGCACATGCAGACAGCCCCGCTGCCGGTCTACTTCCAGACCCTGTGTGAAAGCAGCAAACTCTACGACCCGGGACAGCAGTACGCCTCCCACGTCAAGCAGCTGCAGAGAGGGGACGAGCCGGAGACCCAGTATGACTTCGAGCCCTACGTCTCACAGAACAACTGGTAGGGTCGCCTCCCGAGATGCTAGTGGGCGGTGGTTCCCCTGGCAATCCCTGCATCCTCCAAACACACACACACACAGAGAGGATGGGCTCACATGGACTCCTCTTGGGTCCTCCTTAATTCCCCCCCCCCATCCATCTCCTTTCCCAACAGGTCTCCGTTGACTCGGGCCCGAAAGGGCAGCTACAGCACCAGCGATTTTGGAGGAGCGGGCAGTGCCTCCGAGGCGGCCACCGCCAGCAAAGATGAGGGTGACGTGGCTGCCGGGCGGGAACGGAGAGGTGGGTGCCCCCCTGCTCTGCTCTCTGTGTGGTGGGCCAGTTCATGTCTCCATTGGCCAGGGAGGGCCCTGGGTCTAATTCTGTGCCCCCATCAGCCCAGATCTCCCGCTACACGGTGCAGTCGGGCAGCCAGAACACATTCTGCTGGAAGGCAGGGAAAGATTCCTGCCCACAGAATCGTCAGGGAGCTCAGAAGAGGCAAAGGGTTCAGCCATTTGTCCAAGGCAGGCAGGCAGGCAGGCAGGTCTGGCCTGGAGGGCGACTGATGGGTTTGTAGCCTCATGCAAGGGGCAGCAGGTAGCTCTGAGCCCCACAGCCACGCTCCACGCAGCCCTCCACACTCTCACAAGAGGGTCCCTGGATTGGGAAGACAGTCCTCCTGCGGGTCAAGGTCCAGGAGTTGTTCTGACTGGCCAGACCCACCTCATCGCCTTTACCGGCTTTGGGCTGCGGCTCCCACCCTCCTGGCTGGGGACGGTGGGCCCTGTGGCCCCTGGACAGCTGCCGGATATAGTCCTGTGGAAGGAGAAGGCTTGAGCCGGCAGCCCCCCCAGGTAAATTCTGCCTGTCCTGTCCTTGCCCCTCCCTCCCTCCCTCCCCAGGCGGAAGAGGCCACCAAGTGCACAAGTCGTGGCCCACCCCAACGATCATGGAGACCAAGGGCACCCCGGAGTCCTGTGACCCGTGCTCAGGTAGCCACCCATTGTCCTTCCCGGGCCCCTTGGCTTCTCTCTAGGCCAACGCTGTCCCCCACACGCCCACCTGAACTGGCTTGAGTTGGTGTCCGGGGCTAAACCCCTGAGAGGTTAAAACTTCCACACACGTGGCGGCCTTTCCCATTTCTAAGCTCCGAAGGGGCCACCAGGTCACAAAGGTTCACTGGGCCATAAAAAGGATTTCCCCCGAAGATGCTCTTCTTGGAGCCTCTTCCTGGGTGGGTCAGGCTCTTCTCGGGCTTGGATGTCGCTTGGCTTCAGCCATGGGGCTGGGCACCGTCACCTAGGGGCACCCTTCTCCCCGCCCCACATCCAGCTAAGATTGGCTTGGCTTTCTCTCACGCCTTTTCCTCACGCGGCGGCTCTTTCCCTGGGCAGGTGACCCCGCCGAGAAGGCCCGCCTGGTTCCGTCCGGCCGGTCCTTGTCTCCTGGAGACGATCTGGACGGGAATTCGCCTTCCTTTGAGCAAAGTATGTGTGGGTGCTCGGAGGGGTGGGCTTTGAGGGGGTGCCAGGCTGGGCCGTCCTGGCTGTCACTCTCTGCCTCCTGCAAGAGGACGGGACGTGGGCTTGATCCTGGGTCTCCCCCGGTCCTGCGCTTCCCCTGTTACACGCCCCACATGAGTCGCTCTTGGGCTGGACGGGGAACTCTCTCGTTTCTGTGCCAGGTATCAGCGCCATGGGGCCAGGCCTCTCTGCCCCCACCGGCCCTTTCCGGAGCTCAGGCTTGTCCAAAGCGGCGCAGACCCACCGGCTGCGGAAGCTGCGGACCCCGGCCAAGTGCCGCGAGTGCAACAGCTACGTCTACTTCCAGGGAGCCGAATGTGAGGAGGTAGGACGCCCCCCCCATGGGGTGGGGTGGGGGTGGGCTGCTGAGGATGAGGGTGGAGAGACCCGGTCCTCCGCACTCCAGACCAGGCTCAGCGGGACAGAAGGAGAGACCCTCAAAGACCCCCGGGAGTTTGTCCAGCCACGTATTTAGTTTTCTTTGGGTTTTTTTTTAAGTATTAATGACATACTTACTTGTAGGAAACCACGGGGTGTGTCGTTGTTTTACCCCTGGTTGTTTCTGGTGAAGAGGAAAGACCTTCCCTCCCCGAGCTTTTCGAGGGGACCAGCTCTTCAGGGTGGGGGCTCCCCAGAAGGGTTAGGCCACAGCACCCATCCTCCCCAGCCAAGAAGGGCTCTTGCCCTGGGGGGCTGTGGGGTGGGAGTTGTAGTCGAAGGCCTCTGGGGTGGTTCTTTGGGGCTGCAGTGCCACCTAGTGGCTCTTTGTGGAGGGGCACTGCTGCCCCACCCCACCTCTCTCCCCCTTTTGCCTGACCTCCCTTTTTCTCCTCTCCCCCTCCCCACCCAGTGCTACCTGGCCTGTCACAAGAAGTGCCTGGACACGCTGGCTATCCAGTGCGGGCACAAGAAGCTCCAGGGGAAGCTGCGCCTCTTCGGGCAGGACTTCGCACGGGCCTCCCATGCCAGCCCGGACGGCGTCCCCTTCGTCCTCAGCAAATGCATCCTGGAGATCGAGAGGCGGGCCATGAAGACCAAGGCAAGGGAGCCTTCCGGGGGGGGGTATGGGAGGGGGGGTGGAAAGGCAGTAGGGAGGCACTTACTGGTCCCAGTCCTTGAGGTCTCGCCTTGAAAGGGATGCAAGAGGAGGGGAAAGAGCCTTCCCTGGGGGGGGCACCCCCCTCCCCGATCATTCTCCCAGCGGCTGCAGAGTGTTGGTGCCCAGACTTAACACCCCCCCAAAGGTCAGCCCCAGGCAGCCTGAGCAATGGCTGTGGATGATGGGCATTCTAGTCGACCAGCTGGATGGCTTCAGGTTCCCCGCCCCTGGTTAGGAACAGCCCCTGATGGGAACTGTGTGTCTCCTTTGGGGGGAAATGGAGAAAAGTGCCTTGGTCTCCATCCCCAGCCTCTCCTCTTTGAGAAGGACTGAGGCCTCCGTGAGAATAAGCGAACCCTGTGTTGGATGATGACCTCCCATAGCCAAATGACACAAGGTCACGCCTGAGGCCTCCCCGAGGGGGCCCTCGACCCAATGATTTCTCCCCCACATCCCTGGCGAGGGGGAAGACCGGCTGCGCTGATGGTCCCCTTCCTCCCCGCAGGGCATCTATCGGGTCAATGGGGTAAAAACCCGCGTGGAGAAGCTCTGCCAGGCCTTTGAGAACGGGAAGGAGCTGGTGGAGCTCTCCCAGGCCTCCCCCCACGACATCAGCAACGTCCTGAAGCTATACCTGCGGCAGGTGAGGCCCTGGCGACCCCCCGCGGGTGGGGCTCCGGGCGGGGTGGGGACACTGCTGTGGGAGAGGAGGGTGACCTTCCCGGGGGGGGGGTAGGGGGAAGGAAAAAGGCAAATGAGTGTTTCCTCTCTCTCTCTCTCTCTCTCACACACACACACACACGCACACATAAGACTAGAACTTGGGGCCTGGTGTGGCTCGGGCAGAACAAAAGGACCTTCCGTCCTCTGGCACAGAAATGAAGAGGCTGAGATGGTCGCAGGCAGAGGTGGGATGAGAGAAGCCCACCCAAGAGGCCGAGAAGCCCACCCCATGGTTGTTACAAGCCACAGTGGCAGCTCGACTGGCTCACCGATTTTAATGCAACAAGGAACAGGAGAGAGAGAGAGAGAGAGAGAAAGCGAGCACTGTGGATTGCTGGATATCCGGCCCTTCCCTTCTTGGAAGCAGGATTCGGCCTCATCCTGCCACCTCCTTCACCTATTCCCTCTGCATGGTGTGTGTGTGTGTGTGTGTGATGTCTTAGGGCAGCCCCAGTGTGTCCTCGCTGTGGTTCGTCTAGGTTAGGGCTCCGTTTTCCCTTTCCTGTTTCTGGACCCGTTTGACGTCCTTTCCCCAATTCTCTCCCGTCAGCTCCCGGAGCCGATCCTGCCCTTCCGCCTGTACAACAGCCTGATGGGGTTGGCCAAGGAGAGCTTGCAAGGGGGACCCGACGGGAGCAAGGCCGGCAAGAGCATCACGGAGCTGGTGGACAAAGGGGCCGAGACGGAGCAGGCGATCGTGACGCTGGTGACAAAATTGAGGGAGCTGCTGAAGGAACTGCCGCCCGAGAACCGGGCCACCCTCAAATACCTGGTGGAGCACCTCCAGAGGTCGGTGGGACCCTCAGGCCGTGGCACTCCCACAGACCCAGCATTCCGGTTTCCTTCTCTCCTACAAGCCAGGAAGGGGGGCACGGGGTGGGGTGGGGTGTCTGGTCTCCCAGGAAGGGAAACGTCCGCTTCCCATGTAAAGCGATGCTTTATTTTCCAATAACCAATTAGAAAACAAAAGCACACTTAGGAAAGGACTGAGGCAAGCTCATGTTGGAGCAAACCATCTTTCACCTCCTTGAAGAAGCTTTGCTGTGTGATTGTGTGAACTGCATCTTCTGCTTCTGGCATTAAAACCTCAGGCACCAGAAACTGAACCCAGGAGCATGGCCTGGTTAAGGACAGAAAAAGGTGGAGATCTGGAAGCATGGCCAAGATTCATTTTACACTACAGTATTTATTTAGAATTCTGCAATGTTGTAACAAAACTTACACAACATTGCAAACTGTGGCTTGCAAATTGTTTGTTGCAAACTGTTTGCAACAAAATGGCAAAGTGAACAGAATCGCAATATCTTCTTACAGAACAATGTGCAATCCTAATTAAGTTAATTATGTAAAGGCAGGCTGGATCGTTCAGTGGTTTAGGTCTCTGGCTGCAGAGCGAGAGGTTGGGAGTTTGATTCCTCCCGTTGTGCCTTCTGAGATAAGAGCCCGCCTGTGTGGCCTTGGGCAAGCTGCACAGTCCCCAATAAGAAGGGAATAGCAAACCACTTCTATGGACTCTCTCTGCCTAGGAAACCCTTAAAAAAAAAGAGGAGGGTTTTTCTGCCATAAGTCAGAATTATTAGTGTGTAAAGTCAGCAAGTCTTGGCTATGTGGATTAGTGTTAGTTTAAGTCAGGAAAAAGCCGGATCAGGATATTCCTTTTACGAAACAGAGCAATTTGTTCGAATGCTTTTCCAGAATCGTAGAAGTCGAACAAGACAACAAGATGACGCCCGGCAACCTGGGCATCGTCTTTGGCCCCACGCTTATGCGGCCCCGGCCCACGGAGGCCACCATCTCCCTCTCGTCGCTGGTGGACTATCCCCACCAGGCTCGCATCGTGGAGGCCCTCATCATCTTCTATCCGGCCATCTTTGAAACCTCCGATAACCTGCTTGTGGATGGCTCAGAAGACGGGACCGAGCACGGAAAGGAGCCGGTAAAGAATCAGGGGAAGGGGAACCGTTGGGGGCTAGGAGCGCGTCTGACCTCTCGGCCGGGAGCCGATTCTTTGCAAGCTTCCTCTCAACCACCCCCTCTCCAATCTTGCATCCCCTTGTGCAGGAAGACGCAAGCGCACAGCCATACAGGGAAGCCCCATACCTTGCGGCATCCACAGAATCAGCAGAGGCTGCTCTCCATGAGAACACTTTCAGAGGTAAGGCGAAGCCACACCTTAGACTCAGGCACAGGAAAGGGAAAGGGTCCGGCTGCTCCCTGGCTTGCGTCCCTTACAGGGACTTCCTGGTGCCTAAGGGTCTGGTCGAAAGGCTTTGCGTAGAAGTCCCCTCTGGTCCAGGGAGAGGCATTGCAGGGACGGTTCACGAGGGGCTTCTGTGTTGTTAAAAAAACACCCTCCTTTCCCAGAGAGAAAGCATCTTCCTCTCCCAGCCTCTTGGGGGCCCCTCTGGGCAGAACTGAAGCCAACGGCTTGGTGGGTGGGTGAATAAGAAAAATGAGGAAGGCTGAGAGGGTGGCACGTGCAAAAAACCCCTCACTTGGTCATCCTTTCCAGGATCCAGCACTCATTTCGTGGATTCGGATTCGGACCTGGAAGATGGCGCAGAGACCGGCGCTGCAGGAGCCCCGCAAGCCGCCTTGGCCCGAGGCAGCGAGAGCAGCGGCGACGAGGAGAACCCATCCGGGGATGAAGGCAGCGAGGAAGGCACCCCGGGCCGCCCACGCAGCACCGGCCAGTCGGATCCAGAGGACGCCTCGCCTCCGCGGTGCCGCCTGAGCCCGGCGGAAGATGGCGGTGCTGGGGGCGAAGACAGCGTCTTTGGGCCAGAAGGCGAGGCGGAGGGTGGCGGAGGGCCGGGCGCCAGGCGGCTGGGGAGCTGCAACACCAACCAGTCGAACAACACGTTCCTCTCGGCACGGCTGGGCTTCCGCTGCAAGATGCCCGCGTGACGGCCTGGCACAGGCTTCCCTCCGACCTCCACACTGAGCCCCAGCAGTGAGCGAACATGGGGGTGGGGGAGGCAGCCTCCCAAAGAGAGGAGATGATAGTCCAGGGCCCTGCCTGGACCTCCCTCTGCCTTCTGGCACCGTTGCACCCAAACCTCTCTGCCTGTTTTTGATAACCAAACACAGAAAAAGGGCACCTTAAGGTGTGTAAGCACCTGAGCAGTGGGGAAAGGTTCTCCCCCCACCTACCCCTGGCAACTTCCCAGGGTGTTTTCAGAGAACCACCCTAAGGGTGGGGGGGGCAGAGCTGCATGATCTTTTAAGCACAGAAGGAGCTCTCTTGCTCTCTCCTTGTGAATGGAGACAGAGAAGGACACTTTTTAATTTATGTCTCCAGAGCTTTCTTTTGCAGATTTTTATAATAATAAGGCCAGTTACTTTTATTTTAAAATAAAATCAAGTTGAAACAGCTACGTTGCTTTAAAAAATCAGGGTACAGAAGGAAAAGCTGGGCTCCCTGCTGCCACTGGCAAGCACAGTCGGGGCTAGAAAAGGGCCACCGGCCCTGGGGAGCTTTCCCCGCCTTCAGGAGAAAGAACTCAAAAGAAGATTCACTGCTCTTTTATTAAAACAAAGTTGCATTCACATCCACAACAGAGGCTGGTTTTTAGAGGGCTATTTTCCTTCAGCAGTGCTCAGAGAGCACCAGAGATGATGGGATACTTTTCTAGCGCAAGCTTTTCAAAGAGTTTATTAGAGCGGGCACGCCACGCTCTAGTTGTGGGAAGGGAGGACACAAACCGTTCATGGCTTCCAACCGAGATCTTCCCTCCAATACAAAGGCCGCTTAATTAATCAGCACCCGTCCCTCATCCACAAAATCTGAATCGCTGGAGTCAGTCACAGCCCCACCAGCCCAGTGGGGGAAATCGTGTGTAGCCAAACACAGCCATGAGACTGTGGCGCTGGCGGAGGCCCTCCGTTGAAAAACGTTCTCGCAAAGTCCAGAAGCTTGCGTGGATAAGAGCATCAAGCCCACACCCTTAGTTTTCATTAAAAAAAAAAAAAGCTCCAAGCATTTCTGTTCTGGGTTGGCGTATAAACAGTCTCCACGGGTAACGGAGGGTGCTGGGGCTAAGCTGCAAGGGAACAGAGGGAATGTCAGGACCCAGTTTGGTTTAGAGACATGCCACAAGAGGGGCTGCTTACCAGCAATGTAGAAGAATTCATCCACTTCTAAAGAAGGCTGCCCTGGCAGGGCCTCTCTAAATCCCATGGTTCTCCATCCCAATTTTGCATAACACACCCCAAGATACTGTGTCAGGTTCGGGGACATGCGGAGGCCAACAAGAACAGGAGGGGCTGCCAGTGAAAACGCCCCCCCTCTTCTGGTACACACTCCCCCCATCCCAGCTTCCATCAATGAAAAAAGTCAGGCTCCCAGACGGCTCCTAATGATGGCGAGGACTAATTTAACCTGATTAGTTCCTACCATATCAAGGGGAGGAGGAGAAAAGGGGGGAGGAAGAGAAAAGGGAGGAGAGTCTCATCAGCCTTCTCCTCCACAAATACCTTGTGTAATGTCCCTGCACCTACTGCACCAGTCTGTAGGTGATGTACCGTCCCGCCGTCTCACTGGGCCGAATGATCTTCACCACCTGCCCTCGCTTGATGCCAAAGTAGCGAGCCACGGGGTCTCCCGCTTGGATCCGGGGCAGCTGGTTCTCTCTCAGCTTGCTGGCAGCAGGCATTAAGGAGGGACACAGACAAAGGACAGACACGGAGACGAGGTAGGTTCACTCACCCCACCCCCGCCTCTTGTCCTCGGAGAGGACGAAAGCGTGCCGATGCCCCTGTCCCAAAGTGGACGGTTTTGCACGAGAGGCAAGAGGCCCTTACGCCCTCTGGCCGCCTTGCTCCGGTCAACGAGCCCCCCTCCTCCCGAGTCCCAGCAAGACAAAGAAGCAGAGGCAGCCGAGCCACTTAACAGGCAGATGCTTCAGCACAGAGAGGAGGATACTATCGGGCTAACAGCTCCGTCACTTCCTCTTTGGTCATGACCACATGTTCGGGGACCAGCTGCAGGCACAGGAAAGAAAAGGTCAGGATCTCAGCCCAATCGGGACATTTGCTTTAAATTCAGCCCTATCATCACTGCCACCAGCACAGCGTACAGTGGTGCCTCGTATAACGAGCGCCCTGTTTAACAACGAATCCGCATAGTGATGCGGATTTTGCGACCGCAAAAGTGATCGCATTGCAATGTTTCCTACCGCATTGCGATTTTTCCCCACAGGCACCATTCCCCCCCAGCGGACCGGCGGGCACTTCGGAGCGCCCGCGGTGGAGGCTTCCCCGGCGGTCGCTCCGAAGCCAGCGCCGCCCAGCTGGGGGGAGAGGGCTTCAGCGTGACAGCGGTGGAGGCTTACCCGGCGGTCGCTCCGAAGCCAGCGCCGCCCAGCTGGGGGGAAATGGCCGCCCACAGCATTTTCGCACCTCGCTTACTGAGGCGGCGAAAATGGTGGCCGGATGGGGGATTCTTTGCTTACCGGTTAGTTTTTCCGCAAAAGGAACACATTAAATGGAGTTTAATGCGTTCCTATGGGTCCCTCCCCCGCATAGCAAAGAATCCGGATAGCGACGTTAATCCTGGAATGGATTAACATCGCTATGCAGGGCACCACTGTATTTAAAAATCCACCCATTCAATCAAATGTCTTTTTAACTTCCCTTTCGGGGGTTGGGGGGGGACATGCCTTTCTGCTTCCTCACCTCATGTTCTGTAATGTTGATAAGCAGTTCCTGCTGAAGAAACTGTTCCAGGATGTACTTGGGAGCCATGTCGACCAGAGACTGCGGGGAGAGAAGAGGAAGGAAGACAAGGGCCATCAAGCCCAGCCAGCCTCGCTCAACAGGATGGGATGATGACACAGAGAGAACCAGGCTTTGCTCTTTTTTCTTTTTTCTTTGGAAAAGCTTCCAAAGAAAGGCACTTTCACTCAGTATATGTATGTTACACCTTGCTCTCTGCTTGCAAGGAACCCCAGTCACCCTACCTAGAAACAACAACAAGAATCTTAGAACTGCAGAGCTGGAAGGGTCCCTTTGGATCATCCAGACCAGCCCCTCCCAAAAAGGCCCAGCGGGGGATTTGAACCCCCAATCTCTGGCTGCAGCCAGAGACCTCAATCCCTGAGCTGTTCAGCAGGTCACATTTAAAATATCTTGCCAAATCAATGCATATACTGTATATATAAGCCTTTTGTTCTCCTCGTCCCCCAGCTTCCAAGTTGCCTCAAGTGAAGGAAAAGCATGAAATTAGTTTCATGCTTTTCCTTCACTTGAGGCAACTTGGAAGCTGGGGGACGAGGAGAACAAAAGGCTTATATATACAGTATATGCATTGATTTTGCAAGATTCTGCAAACAGAAGAAATAACCATCACTGGGATAAGCTCCTCAGCTAACAGAGGATTCCTCCCCCCCCCGACTCTCTTCTGTGTCAGGATCAGCCGTCCCATCACAAATGTAGGCTCAGCAGCCTCTACGTTCACCTCCCTCCAGCCCACTTTGATGGAGGAACCTGCTTGGCCGAAGGAGTCATGCCTTGCTGGACCACAATCAGGGCTCGTGTGATGTTTTCCTCCTGCATTCGCTGGCAATACATCTTGATGGTTTTAATCCCAACTTTGGGCTCCTCTGAAAGAGAGTGTTGAAAACAGAATGACACACAGAGTCAATAACAGTCACATGCGGTTGCGCATTTGACAACAGCAGCCTGCCTTCTTCTCCATTTGGATAATTAGTGCAATTTGCTGATTTTCACAGGATGTTAGGATTAGGGTTTCTTGGCTTTCACTGCAGATTATCACTTGCCTCATAGTTTTAAAGCAAAAAAGGCAAAGCGTTGACATCTTGCCAATTTAAAAAAAACGCAAGAGAAACCTGTTATTGTAAAACAGTTTAACAAGTTTTACTGCCCTATTCCCTAAAGGGGTTCAAGGAAGTCCCATCCCCCACACTCCCATTTCTGCCTGTAAAGCCTCTGGGGTAGAATAAGGTGCAATCTAATAAACATCAAAATTGAGGCAGTATTTGAACTCTGATCTTCCTTCGCTCCAAAGCAAGCCTCAGTGGCATCAGACCAGCAGCATTTGCCACTGACGTCCGCTTTGAATATGCCTGTGGATAATGTGGACAAACACCCGGAATCACAAGAGTCAGGAAGATACACCAGCCTGTACAGGAGACTGACCACTACAACAATCGCCCACAGGCTTGGCTTTAAATTTTCCAGTGAGGAGAAGCGTACTGTCTCTGGAGACAACAGATAAACTAACTAAGAAAAGAAAGCAGGGAGAATAGAGAAGGAAAACAATGTAAGCAAGCTTTTGGAAGGAGGTGATTGTGTCTCAGTTTGGCCTGAATCTATTTCTTGCAGCCACCTGGGAAAAAGACGAACATCTGGTCAGTGGGGTCGTCGTTGTGGGCCACCAAGACTGTGAGATCTGTCCGCCGAGGCCGCCCTTCACTGGGCTTGTCTCCAAACTGGGCCTTGAACTCCTCCAGGGTCTGGTCCAACTCATCCTGGGTCACTAGGTAGCCTCGATCATGACAGAGCTGGAGGGGGTTGGGGGGGGGGAACGGAGGAAAAGGAGGTAAGAGACACAAGGCATGCGCAGGGCCGGGGAACCCACACTAACATGGCCCCCAAACTGAGCCAACCTGGAGATCTCAAAGGAGGGGCCTAGCACCGCCCTTCAAATCCTGACAGAGTGGGGATGATGGGAGCTGTAGTCCAACCACCACCTGTGGGATCACGACATCCGCCTCTTCTCTCCCCGCCCAAATGAGCATGGCTTTGGGAACACACACACCTTGACACACACACCCTTCCCCAAGTGTCTCCACCTCCCCTCCGTCCGGGGCAGAGGGAGGGAGGGAGGCCAGACGCCCCCCAGTCGATTCTCCAGGCCAAGGGGAGCCCCCAGTCCGCCCAGCCCCGTCCTCTGGCACCCCAGGAACAGGAACACGAACACACACGCTAAACGCCACCCACCGACGTGACTATAACCGCCATCCTCCCCAGCGCCAAGCCCCCTTCCCTCCGGACCTGCATGATGGTCTTGCGGATCTTCCACAGCCTGTACGTCTCCTCCTCGTCGTCCATAGCCGCGGCGGGTCAGCACCCAACTACGAGCGGGTATCGCGCAGGCGCAGGAAAGGCCGGGAGGTGGACGCAATGGTTGACGTATTATATGTGCGCGGAAAAGGGAAAAATGCTGCGCCTGCGCATTTCCAGAAATGAAGCGCGGCACCCACACAGGAGTAGGCGCATTTGGGGAACGCCCCCCGCCGCCGCGAGATCTGGGGCTGCGCATGCGACGCGACCTCGGGCGATGACGCATTATATGTGCGTGGGACGGAAGAAATACTGCGGCTGCGCATTTGCAGAAAAGAACCGTCTCTGCATTAGCGCAGGTGCATTGGGGAAACACGCCCCCCCCTGCGAGCTCTGGGACTCTGCCCATGCGCAGAAAATATACCTTCTCCAATGGCGCGTGAACAGTTCTTCGGCCCTCTTCGGCGCACACCTGTGACGTTAGCAAACGTGTCCTGCTATCACCGTAGCAACAGGAGGACCGTAGAGATACTAAATGGAAGCGCAACTTCTGAAGAGGGAAGGTGACTTTTTTTAGAGATTGCGACTAATGGCAGTAATTGGGAGAGAAATCGACCCCGAGGGCCTGGTCAGGTTGCAGTTATTCGGGTGCCAAGCGCTGATGGGCGCCTTCAAGGCCCCCCCTTGCCGTTGTTTATTTCTTTTTATTTCTTCCTGAACCTTTACACAGGATCAAACAAAGGCGAAACACCCGCCCTTGCAAAGTGTTGGAGCAAACAGGAGGACGCCACCCCTTTAAAGCAGGACACAAGGCCTACAAAGGAGGTCCCATCTGAAAGAACATCGAATTCAAAGGTAGACTGCCCCTGGGTGTGGAGGCTCCCTTCAGGCATTGTTTCCAATAGTCGCCATGAATTGGCCTCGCCCCATTCCAAAGCCTCCTTTGGGGTTTATTCTTTTATTTACCTAATTATTTCAACAATTCATTATACTACCCCATTAGTGTGATTATGCACTATTCTGGGCAGTTTAACAATAGATAAAATCAAGCACTCCAAGAGAAAATTAAAAATTGTGCAGAACAACAACAACAAAAACAACAACAGTAATCATCTTAGAACTGCAGAGCTAGAGGAGACCCTATAGAAGATCATCCAGTCCAGCCTCTGTCCAAGAGGCCCAGCGGGGGAATCGAATTCCCAACCTCTGATGCCGAAACCACTGAGCTATCCAAAAGCCACTTGTACAGTACTGGTAAATCAGCTCAGAGGGAAATGAAATGCAAAAATTGCAGGACATCAACAATGATCTCAAACCTTAAACAGATGTAAATCATCGCCCTGGCCCTTGGCAGCCTCAGTAACTGGGGATCATCACCCAAGCATCCTGCCTTGGCTGAGCTCATCAGCCTTTGTTGTGGGTTCAAACCCTGTTGCCTTCATTAGCCCCACAAGTCATGGGTTTTCATGCCCCAAAGGCATTAATTAAGGGTCTCCCCAGGCCAGGATATGGACGTCACTGTCAGCCCTGCTTTTGTTGGGTTTCTGTTGCACCCATTTAGCATATGTTTAAGCTGCAATGATACTCTGATGTGTTTTTCCAAGGCAATGGAGATCTTGACCTGTAACTGGTGGAAACTGTGGGCGGCATTGGAAAAAAATACATCTATTTGTGGAGGGAAAATGTAGAGTTGACAACATGATTTTGGATTTCTTTTTCAAAGGAAAGCAGAAGGAATTTTGCTGCGGAGACAAAGGAGAAGATGGTGATTCCCCCTCCAGTCGGCCTGTGGAGGTGGCGGATCAGCACAAATGGAAAGCCAAGGGCCTGGATTTAAAAAGAGTCCTCTGTTTTTTGGCATCTCTTCTGCAAAATGGGCTGCCTTGACCAACAGGTTAGTTACACTTTCCTTTCCATGGCCTCTGAGTTGCTTCTTTATGGTGAGATGGTTCCCACGGATTCTTCTTGTCACTGAAGCTTCTTTAGTCAACTTTTAAATTCCTTCTTTGCTACTGAATAATGTTGAGTATTTCTTTCATGGGCTGCCTCTCCAAACAAAAAAGCAACAACCCGCCAGCTCTCACATTTGCAACGGCGCCCTTTGCCTCCCTGCAGGCTGCCCTGTCTCCCTTCTGCAAGAGCTGGGCCTTTGGCAAAGGTGGCTGCAGAAGGAGCTTGGGACGGATGTGAGGAACCTTGGCTAACCATTGTTGTGGATAATTCACGTTTCAAATGGGATGCAAAAGGGAGCCATGCAAAGCTCAGGAGCCTCTTCCTGTTTACAAGGCTGGGATTTGCTGAGCCACGGAGGATGACTTGGCAAAGTTATGCAAAGCCCTGTTTGTACCTAAGCCAGTTCCTCACCTTCTCAGCAACCGAAAAGTTTGCTGGAGGAAATGAATGGGAAGTGAAAACACCCAGCCTTGCACACTGGGTTTTTACCACAATTGCCAGTAAAAATATTGAACAGGTGCATAAGGCTCTGTTAGGAGTTAGCTCCCCTTTCCTCCAAACCACTGGGAGTTTATTTGTTTAGTGAAAAGAGCAAAATATCAAGGAAATGTCTCACTGGAGTTTGTGTGGAAATGCAGGATTGTGACATCTGCAGGAATGTGATGACACAGTCCCAGGCAGGTAAAATACAATGAGGAAACCCCCAAAATAGATGGTGAGACAATCTTTCCTCACAATTGCCTAAATATTTCATAATCATAAAGAAATGTGGTAGATCTGCCGGGCTACTCACGGGGCTTCTCCTGCTCTCTGAAGGCCTGGGGAGCCCTAGAGAGGGCCCCACAAGGAAAAAAAAACACACAACAACAAAACAGCCCTCTTGCTCCTTGCCAGAACACCCAAACTTTGGGGTCTTTGGAAGTGAAGCAACATTAAGTGCTGGCAGTGGTTTCCAGCAGCCAGACCAGTTTGGCTCAGGTTGTAACCATAGCTTCCAATATTCCAGGGGGGTGGGGTGGGGTGTCTGTGCCCACACTGCTCCCATTGGACCCGCTGACGGTCTGCCTCTGAATTTCGGTGGAGTATCGGCGAGAGAAGCACCCTACAAAGCTCCTTGTTTTGAAGTGAAGCATCTCTGGGTGGGTGTTGTCACTGACGCAGGATCAAGAATGCCATATATGTTAGCATACCTCCAGATGCTGGCATAATGACAGTGGCCCTACCAACTTTAAAGTATTTATTCTTATAGAAAGAGCTCGCTATAAAATAGTACTGAGGAGCCTTAAAACAGGACCAACCAACAACCACAAGTTCCCTGATGTTTTAATTCTTGGCATGCATTTTCAGCTTTGTGGGTCAGGGCAAGGGGGAAGTCCTCTGTGAATTCCGGATGTCTGAGCTCCGAAACAAGTGCAGAGAGAGAGAGAAAAAGAGAGTCTTGCGTCAGAGACCTTTTGGCTTCCTGCCCAACGGCTTAGGTCCCAGGTGCAGACTCTTCCCAGGAAGGCTTGAGAAGAAGGCAGGGGAGAGATTTTTCCTGGGTGTTCTCATTGTTTTGGCAACAAACGGGTTCAGGGTAACCTTAAAACAATGCAGCAAACTGGAAGGGTCACATTCCTGACCAAACGAGGTCTCTGTGTCGTTTCTGAGAGCAGTACAGGCAGGAGAATTTGGGTCACTGCCCCAGATTTAGAACAGACAAGCAGTGTCCTGTGCTACCTTGCAGGGCTGTTGTAAGGCACTCCTGCTCAGTCTGGGGATAATAACACTAGTGTGCACAGCTAGAATCGCAGCCATTTTTCATTTGGTTATGGAGGAGAGGGAACTGTCGCAGTCTCTGGAGGTCCATGGGGCTTTTTCCAGGTAGGACTCAAACCCAACACTCTGTAAATAGGACTCAAACCCAACACTCTGTAAATGCTAAATATTTTACCAAATAGCATGGAACCTTTTGAGCAGCCTATAACCTTTCACCCCACTAAAAATTATGGAGAAGTCAAGAGTTTGCACACTTTCGTGTCATTTTGGTTGGTCGAAAGGAAGGCACTAATAGGAGCAGAAAATAAAGGAAAGAAAGAAAGAAAGAAAGAAAGAAAGAAAGAAAGAAAGAAAGAAAGAAAGAAAGAAAGAAAGAAACTTCAGGTTGGGCATTTGCTTCTTCATGGACTTCCACCTTGTGTCTGAGACCAGTTGGCTGCCTGCCCAAGGTCTACATCCTCCCAGGAAGGCTTGTGTTTTCATTTTGCTTTGTTTTGAAACTTAGGACTAGGGGATAAATCACGGCAACTCACATCTGAGCCAACATGCTGAGTCAAGGCATTTGTGACATATACCTTGGGCAAGATGGGTTACGTTTCCCTCCTGCTCTTTTAAGATGCGGGAAGGAAAACTTGTTGAAGAGGAAGGCTAGCAAGGCTGGCCAAGGGAGTTGAGCCCTCTAGGATTAACTTCCTTACACTCTGAATGATGGAGCCTCCAGTGTTCAGGAGCACTCTATCTCTGGAGGACGAACAGAGAGCCCGCGTGGGGTGGTAGCTGAAGTGGTGCAGGGGCTGGAGGGATCCAGGTTGAAGTCCCTGTGGGGCAAGAAGGGTCCACTTCCTTCAGCCATGCTGGACTCAGCTGCAGCTGCTCCTTCTCCTCTCTTCCTCCAACAGACACAGATTCATTCGTCAGGTTTAAAGTATCTGCTGTCATCTCAAGACAAGTTTATGAATGAGACGGTATTCCACCCACATGCCTGTCTCCGCCTCCGGGCTTCAGGTATTGGCTGGGAGGCAAGTCCCGCCAACATTTTTCCACCTGGGCAGAAGGAAGGATCTGGGTTAAAAAATAACCAAGCATTATTTTCCTCTGCCGGATAATGGTACAGTGGCTAGAGTTCAAGAAACCACTAGATTTGCCCTCCAGTACAGCTGGTTCAGCTGATTAGAGCCGCTTAGCACCAGGTGAATCCTGATTTCCAATAGGAAAAAAAAAAGACCAGCTTTCAGCCAAAGGATTTGAGAAGTTTCAGCAAGAGGCTAGACCTCAAGGGAATCCTCAGGGTGCCGAGCATCAGCTGATGGCCTTGCCTGGTGAGAGTGTTGGTCAACATCTACAGGACATCCTAAGAAGCACCTTCAGGAGATCTGCTTGGGTGCTGGGCGGAGAGACGCAATGGGGCCAAACGACAGCCCTTGAATCACTGGTTTAAGTTCCCCAGTACTTGTGGATTTACCGCTTGGAGCCACATGGTCCTCCTGGGAGTTGGGCAAACTCTTCCGGCCCCCAACTGGGACGGCTATGCGGCGGGGGGACCCACCCATCAGCCACACTCGCTGGGTCCCCTTCATGCTCCTTCTGCTTGCCCCTCATGCTTGGGGTCACGGAGACCCAGTTCTGCAGATGGACGGTGAGCCTTTGTGGCTGCAGGGCAGCCGCCACGTCCGGAGCTACCACCACCTCGAGGGGGACGTCCGCTGGAGGCGTCTCTACTCCTTCAATCACTTCTTCCTACGGATCGAAGATGACGGCAGAGTGGAGGGGACGCGGCAGAAGGAGAGCCCAAACAGTAAGTCTTGCGGGCAAGTCTTCAGGGTCCAGCAGCTGGCTGGGAAAACCTGGCGGCTGCCACCAGCCCGTCGGAAAACGTGCTTCTAACCTTTACTGTTGCCGATTTTTTTAAAAACCCTCACCAGAAACCAGCTTGGTTTGTTCAGAAGGCCTTTAGAATGGGCAAGCAAAATGGTGGCATGCGTAAGCTGCGAGAGGAGCAGGGAAACTTTGGAGAGCCAGTGTCGTGTAATGGAGGGAGGGCTGGGCGAGGAGTCAGAAGGCCTGGGTTCAAATCCCCACCTGGCCAAGAAACTCACTGGACCAGTCACTCTTTTATCCTGGCCTTCCTCAGAGGGTGGTGATGAAACTAAAGTGGGGGAAGGAGACCCACAAGCCCGGCTTTGACTTCCCCAGAGAAGAGACTGGATATAAATGTGTCTGATAAACAAGTGGACAATAAACATATAAAAGCTTGGCTGATGTTCCACCAGAGACCGAGAGAAGGACATGTTGTCACCTCCAAATGATAATCAGGGCCATCGGCATGACCTCAGGGGCCCTCTTGTTGTGGCTTTTCATGTTTTAAGAGGACAACACCCTTATAAGCACCTTCCGGGACTGAACAGTCAGCTGCAGCTCCCGGTTTGTTCTGACTAAAAGCTTCCAGTTTGCTCCCTCATGCTTCGGCTCTGCAGCTCCTGGCAGAGCCTTGATGTCCAAACAAATGGCCCCTTGGTTGTGATTCCCAGGTAGGAGCAATCCCCCCCCCCCCGTAGGCCCTAGCCAGGCGGAGTCTGAGATAGGGAGCCTTGCTTAAGCCAGGCTGATGGACGGTGGCTCATCCTCCCACCTGGCAGGGGTGGGAGCAGCCATCCTGCTCGAAACCCAGCACTTCTGCTGATTTGATACCCTGTGGTGGTTCCTGTTTAATCCTTGCCTATTTAAATGCTGAAATGCTTCAAGTCATTCTTAGAAGCTGAATAAACGGAGGCACATCCGCTTTCCTTCCTTCCCACCCGACCCCTGCCCCTTCCTCCAGGCATCATGGAGATCAGGTCCGTACAGGTCGGCACCGTGGTCATCCGGGCGATCCACAGCGGCTTCTTCTTAGCCATGAACAGGAAGGGGAAAATCTACGGGACGGTAAGGTGGCAAGTTTAATTTCTCTGGAAGCAAATGACGTGTGTGCTGGGTGCTGAAGGGGGGGGAGTCCTGTGTTTTGCCAGGTTGCACCCCCTCACTGGGAATCTCAACACTGCCCTGATCCCAGTTGCTTCCCCCCCCCCCGTGGCTTCTCCTCCCAAACAGAGCTCTGGTGTGGCCCCCTTTTTTTGCTGGACTCCAGAAGCCTGAAGGTGCTTCCAGGTCTCCTCTTGACGGGCAAATGGGCCATCAGGGATCGCAGCTTTGCAGAAGGGAGCTTGGCATCTTCCTGGGGAAGAGGCTTGGCCTTCTTCTCTGGTGCCAGCCCAGGGACTGCTGCTGCTGCTGCTGCTGAGAATCTGTTTGCCTCCCCACATCGGGGTTGGAAAGCCTCAACCTGTTGCTCTTTTAGCTTCTTCATAAATTGCAAATCCCACGAGTAGTGAGGCCTCCTTCACTCTCCCCCTCTCTCTCTTCCCGTCGTAGAAAGAATACAGCATCAACTGCCAGTTCCAGGAGCGCATTGAGGAAAACGGCTACAACACCTATGCCTCATCGCGCTGGCACCACAAAGGGCGCCCGATGTTCCTGTCCCTCAACGGGAAGGGCGTCCCACGCTGGGGGGCCAAGACGCGGCGGCAACACCCGTCCACGCATTTTCTCCCTATGCTCGTCTCCTGAGGGCAGGACTGAGCACCACACGGGACTTGTGTATGGATCGCAACAGCCTCCATTTGAAACTTGTGGGTATTGGGGAGGGGTATTTATTATTTTTTGTAAAAGTGAAAAAGGAAAACAGAGCGGCCTGCCAAGGCGAGGCAGAAGATGAGGAAAAGGGACGGGGTCATGAAGCAATTAAAAGTGCCTTCATGGTTCACCTCTGCTTCCCGTTAATGTTCACCCATTCCTGCCTTCTTGGGGTAAGTTCCACTTTGAACACATCCTGAATTGTGTTCAGATTTCAAAGGAGCATTTGAAAGAATCAAATCCACTGGGGGGAAAAACACACATCCTACCAAGCGGTTTATCCCCCAGCGTGGTGTAGTGGACAAGGACTTTGGAGACCTGGGTTCAAATCCCTGCTCAGCCACAGAAGCTCACTAAGGGTAAAAACACACCTCACTTACCTTAAAAGCCCTTAGAGGTCTGCTCTGAGTTGGCAAAAGCCACAAGGGTTTGCCCAACAGTCTTCCAGAAACAGTAAGAAGCAGAGATGCAAAATTGGGGGTGTGGATGCTACTGAGGCCCCACCTGACATCCCGGATGGGGTCATGCCTGGGCAGGCCGTGCTGGTTAGGGGATTCTGGACGTTGTCTAATTTACCTGCAGGCTCCAAGAGTTTGCCACCCTCTGAAGTGCTAAGAATTAAAACAAAAACAAAAAAACCACCACCCCCCACACGTTTGCAGATTTCAGATCTAGAATGTCCCGGGGGGGGGGGGGTTGGATGGGTGGTTCTCTTAATGCAGAAGAACAGCAGGAATCTCACTGGCCATCAGGGTGGCTCCCTCTGCTGGCTGAGCTTGTGTCCTGCAGCCAGAGGACCGCTGTCCCATCAATGACGGGACCCAGTTACTGCCCTCTTTGGTGGTCAAGGAATGTGAGCTGACCCTCTGACCTATCAAGGGCAAACACCTTGGGGTCAGCCACCGGAGGGCGCCACAAGAGAGGATTTAAGGCTTTTAACAGCCAAAAGTGGACAGCTGCTGTGCATGCACCTAGCCACAAGGGGGAGCCCCAACTTAAAGGAAGAAGCCAGTTTGTGACCGGTGGCCACTTCAGCCACACACCTCTCTCTATCAGAAGGCACCCCGAGACAAGCAATCAGGTGGTTCAGCAGGCCACCAGAAGCCTTCACAATCCAAAGGTGAGACTGGAACTGGCCGGAGGAGCTGTCCTTTGCAACTCTGATCAGCCCTCCGCAAATAGTTCAACCCTCTTTGGCTGGATGGCCCAGTGGTTTCAGTCTCCGGTTGGGAGTTCAATTCCTCCACTAGGCCTCCGTGAGACAGGCTGGGCTCAATGATCCAGACGGTGCCTTCCAGTTCTCCAGGTTATGTTTTATTTATAGGCTGCCTTATTCCCAAAAAGGGGACTCGAGATGGCTCACAATACTAAAAGGCTAGTGTAAGTTCTATTATTGTTATTATTTTAAACAGCAACCTGGTGGCCATCTGTTAAAATTGATTTAGCTCTGGGTTTCTTGCAGAGGCAGAATGGGGACTGAACTAGTTGACCCTTGGCCAGAACTCCCAACACCTAAGCAGAGGAGGAGGCTGGAGTTGGGCCGGAGCTGCTTCTTGCCTCAACCCCCACCTCGAAAAACTGGGGTGGTGGCTTCCCAGTTCCCCTTCTTCTTGTGGGGCCAGGCAGGAAGGAGGTTATGAAGGAACAAGAGGCACTCTGGGCTGCCACATGCCCGCAGCTGAAACAGCAGCAACACAAAATACCAAGTTCCTGGTGATCTGTTAAATTAAGGTGCTGCGCATGCACGTTATGGAGGGGGCAGAGAGAGGGGGTCCCTGCCTGGGGCATTAGGATCGCCCACTCCGATGGCAAGGCTCGCGTGGACGTTCCAGATACAGAACTCTGATGTCCTTCCCCCTCCTGGGTCTCACAAGGAGCCACAGCAGGAGAGGTGTTTTGCCCACCAGCGCCAGTACTCACAAAAGAGGCGGGATTCATAAAGCAGCTTCTCACCTCTTGAGTGTCTCTCCGCCCTTCAAAAAGGAGCCTGGAAAGAGAGGCTCAAGAGAAGTCCCATCACCTACCCAGAGGAGGAGGAGGAGAGAAGGGGACTGGTGGTTGGGCTGGGGGTGGCTGGGCAAGGAAGTCACCAGCCGACCGCAGGAAACGCAGGAGAAGAGACGGCATCGCCTCTGCCTTTGGGTGGGTGGGAGTAGCCCAGCCAGACCAACCCTAAAAGTGAGCAAGGATCCTGAAAAGCACCTGCAGTTGGCCTTGCGTCCCATTTCTCAGAGGCAGAAACCCCGAAGCGGCACAGGTCTGAGCTGAAATGTCCATTTATTTAACAGCAGTAATAATTTAAAATTATAAAAACCCCTTTTTTTAGTGTCGAATTGCCAAAAAGGGTGGTGTTAAACAGGGGAAAAGGGGGGGGAAGAGGGAGGAAGCTCATTTAACAGGTTGAGAGAGACTGGGTTCACCTTCCTGGCTTCCAACCTTCAAAAAGATGTCTCCTGCCTCTTCCCCAATGCACAGAACCCACAGGAGGAAAGGGGGGCGGGGGGCGGAAGGAGAGGGGGAGCAGGGCGTCCGTGGTGGCTCCGTTTCCAAAGCTAAGAAACGTCGAACTTTCAAAAGAACAGCAAAAGGGTGGCCTCTGGGAGGAACCTGGAGCAAAATGAAAACCAACCCACCGAAACACAAACCTTTCAAAGACCCCAACGCTTGGCCTGTCCTTTTTAATCCTGCTGTGTTTTGGAGGGGCCGGTTGTGTGTGTGTGTGCGCGCGCACGCCACTCAGTTGGGTTTGTGAGTCCACGCAGCATTTCAACAAGGACCAGGGGACATCCCTCCACCTCTAGGCCCATCTCACGCGTCCGGCAGGGCTAGCGGGCAGACAAGCGCTCCAGGGGTGGGAATTCTGCCCTCCTGGGGTCTGTTTTCAGGG